ATTGATGTCACATCTTTTTATTCAGGCCGTAAGTCCTAGAATGAACTCTTAATGTTCACTCGTTTTCATAACCGTAACTTTTCATGATAACACGTAGTTTAGTGTAGGTAGTTAGGTAGTTGTAGTTTGTTAGTCAGTAGTAGTAGTTAGTTAGGTTAGTGAGTACTACTTACTAAAATAAATTATATCGGGGTTATAGTTGCTTAAAAAAATATAGTTAAACAGGTAGTCAACCTGGCGGAAAGGACAAACATCGTCTTTATGAGTCATACTGTTTGGAGGACAGGAATCTGGGAGTTTAGCATATTCCTTTTTGAAGGTTTTTTCCTTTTGGGGTGTGCGACGTATTACAGGCGCGAAGGCCTGTAAGTACGTAATTATCACAAAGGAGGTGACGACCATTTCCAAACCTCTATTAAAGTAATGAAATATATCATTTCGGACCTTATATAACTGGATGATATTAATGTATCATCAATACTATCAATATAAATAATCCGAGCATAGAGTCTTTATTTATCATGGATTAGTCCTGCATAAAACATCGGATTGATAGCACCATTGATATACACACGCACATTTTGTCCGAAGGGCTAACATTCACGGGTCGTCGTAGTTTGGACGTGTCTTCTTGACTGAACTCTCCCGTGTTCAGGTTCAATGCGCACCGGGTATAGCACTCAATTTGTCAACTTTCATTTACGTGAAGGTGTGAAGTAATTCACTGACGCCTAAGGTGTTTACACGTTTTATAATCACCCGGGCCGGTCTTAGCACTATTGCGGTCAAGGTAACCTACATAACTCATTTCTTTACGGAGGAATTTATAACGTAATTTGTTAGGTCTTGTCGTCAAACAAAATACTCACTTCAGTTTCACGTCTTAGTTAAGAGTCGCATCATATCATCTGTAAAATTCGCCTTGGAGGGTAGGGTTTTGAGGGGACGTAGGGGAGTGTATAATTAGTCCAGACGCCAACTACAAGACCGTTGCTCAATGGTACTGTCAAGCGGTGTTCGTCTTTATGTAAACTGGGGTAAAAAAACAAAAAAAAAAACCAAAAAAAAAAAAATAGGGGAACGAAAAATGTCCGTCGTTGCGACTCTCCGCGGTGTAAGGGTCGGCACCGCGTCAACCGTCGTTTTTTGAGGTCTTCCATTTAGACCGACGGGTACCCTAGCACAACACTCCTGACCAAGTACTTGTTAGCAAAGAACAACGGTAGTGTTAGTTGACGTTTCCTCGTCAGGTCTGTTCACCTGACAACTCGGGTAATCCCCGGGTTAGAGACCAGACCTCTATCGTGGCGTCACTCACGCACGACCCGTCGAGGACATTCACCTGCCCGTCAAAGAGTCCGGAACTAGAGGTCGACGGCGGGGCGAACGACTTCTATAGTTTGAGAATTCTAGAAGGTTTAGAGGTCTACCTATGCGCTCCCCTTATTAACAAGAAACTTTCGTCAAGCCGGTCCGGTCGAACTACTTGCAGTTGAAGAACCGATGCTACAGTCGTCTTTGTAAGGTACCGGGCGAGTACTTAAACAGTCAGACCCCGTCTCCCCGAACGACTCGTGCAACCAACCGATTTGTAGTCTTTTTAACGCTATGTCATAGTGGTCCCGGTCGTCTTCGATTACATCCTTATTATTCATAACATTGCCATGGAGGAGGCCCTTCACGGAAGAGGGCTTAGAAGACTGTACGTATTCCTACAGAAATCGAACAGCACTCCTTCTGGCCCACCAAACCGGGATACTACCTTGGCTCGTATTGGTCCTCGCAGACACAGGAGTCGGGGAGTTGGGTTGTTCTTCTGAGATACGGGTAAATCACCGACGTCTGTGCTACCTCCACAGTCCCCGAGTAGTCTCGTACTCAACTTGGTGACCTAGGATCCGAGAAACCTTCCAGAGGTCGTTTTCCTCCGTCTTACTCCGACTCCAGGGAACCAACAAGACAACAGTTCTTTTTGGAACAGGGCGGCTTACTACAAAAAATTCAGCCTGCTTAGACTTTACAGTGTCTACGTAAGGAACAAGCAGGTCCACAGTACAGGAACCCCTCGATGGTTAGGTAAGTTTCTGGTGTCACTCTGGCCTGCACCGACCGTGGGGTACCTGTAGTTGTTGGGGCCTTCCATCGACGAGTCACTACAGGAAGGGGGGTGCGGACTCCAATCGGAGGGTAAACTGGCGGACACCGTCCTCGGGTTGGCGGTAGTTGGTTGGTTCCGAACGACGTCCAATCAAAAAGGTTGTCCGAGGTCGTTCTTCGGAAGTCCTTAAACGATCCCGTCGGACAGACCGAAAGCGTTTTGAAGACTAAGGAACAGTTTATCTCTGTAAACCAACCGAGGGTGAGTTTTCGGCGTTTCGAAGAACATTTACTGAAGTGCGAGGTGATTACTACTACTCCCGGGCCAACTTTCTCGAACTCACTCAGTCACTAATCGGAAGAGGAGGGTAACTACAAATGCCTCGGTTCTAAGACTCCGAACGGTTACTACTGCAACACGACCAAAGCGTAACGTAGCGTCTTGTCAAAAGGTAGGTAGCGAACCCCGGACATACCGAGACGGTTGGGAGGGGGAAGACGGGACTAGTCGTTAACTGGACTTCAGGGGGTCTCCGACGCTTGGGGCAGGCTCTTTTTTCCCTAGGTCCCAGAATGACAGGGGCTTACCTTAGTTTCCCAATTGAAGGAGGTTGGGTAGGGTTGATACCGTAATTTGTCTCAGTAACAGAAAGGAGGTAACCCCGAAAACAACTACGAGACACACCTATCCTGGGCGATCGGGCAACAAGTACATGAGGAAGTTCGAGGACCAACTACTTAACTCATTCACACTCTCAGACTTGGGGGTTTGTGACACTTCAAGTCTAACAGGCCTTGGGCGGGAGACGAATTTTGGTTGGACTCCTAAACCGGAGTGCGGTACCTCACACCAAACGGATAACACTACAGTCCGGGTACACCGGACTGGTGAGGTACCAGACTCTGGCCCTGATGTACCAACCGGTTATGTGGGTCATTTTGAACCTTCGTCTGCAAGGACTTGTACCCTTGTCAGGCAGGGCGACGACCGTAATTCAACATGTATCTCGGACCGACGGGAAACGCATGACTACCACGGGACGACGACGTTTCCACAAGTCCGTAAGGTTTACTACGTCGACTTCCGATTTTACTTAAGGAACAAATCTGAGTACTTCTTCCACCTCTGGAGTCTGCAGACAAGACAATGAAAAATATGTCCGGAAGAATCAGGCTTAAAAAAACAATAAGAAAAATCTACAATAAAACAACAGGTAATACATTTGTATACATCCACGAGATCTGGATTAAGGGCTTTATGCATTTGCCTAACTTGGTCCTTCATTTAAAAACATTTTCAGGTGACGTTGTGCAGTCCTAAAGGAGACCGGGTGGTGAAGACGGATGACTGTCATGCGTGCCACAGATTTACGGTAAGTTAAACAAGATAACTGAACCTGCCAATAGGTGGGGACACCAGCATAGGAAGTCTGACGACAAGGAGATCATCATTTAACAATTCATGGTAGAGGTAAATGCTGCTAACACATCAGTTTAAGTCATGAAGTTATATTCACAAGAGTTGTACCATAAACATATGCTGAGATAATGATTTTTACTCCAAGCTAGTATTATCCCATTCCCCACTCATCCCCTATTTTATTAGGACCTTCTATCTAGACAGGTTAAATATGGACAATAGATAACATTTTGCAAAACTATATTTTTGTTTTGATTTTCTATTTGGCTCAAATCTTCCATTGACACCAACACAGAGTCTTTGAGTTATGTCTAACATAGCATCTCTGGTTGTTGTGAACTTTATACTTCTCATTCGTCAGATTCTGAATAAAAACCATTTCACTTTAAATACAACATACTTTTATCAGGTTCTTGTTTTATAAACTACTGCTGGTGGTTTTACAGTATAACATTTAACTTCCCCGTATACTGAATGATTGATTGAATCACTCCCACACAGAATTCACTTAACTATCAAACCAGTTTAACTTGATATTATCACCTGCCATTGCTGTTGGTGTGTTTGTGTTTGTGTGTGTGTGTGCGTGCGTGCGCGTGTCTGCATAGCTTTAAAATAAAGCTCTTTTATTTTTTCGCATTTATGTTTAGTGTTTACACAAGACAGCTGCATTGGGTGCGGTGGATTACGAAACAACTACCTTGACATTAAACCTGAATTGCTTGAAAAAAAATATCCTTATTAATAAGACTTTTATATTCATTCTCTATCTGCACATTCTGGGCTGCTATCTAATTAAAACACCACATAATTGGTGTACCCTAAGTCGCTCTAATGTTGACAAAGATACAATATTATATATCCAAAGAAACAATAGAGAGGTGTAAGCCGCTGAACATGAATCAGGTGTAACTTAATACTTGTGTCTTTCTTCGTCTTTTCTAGTTTTTTTCTCACACAGGCATTCATGGACAGAAAAGCTCAGCTCAGCACACACACACACCACACACACACACACACACACACACACACACACACACACACACACACACACACACACACACACACACACACACACACAGATATGAACAAACCAATAGCAGTAGACGCCTAGAGCAGAAGAGTGAATCTTGTCCGTCCCCCTTGTGCAGCGCAGAGGAGTCAACCATCATTTCCTGTCACAAGAAAACACACCTTTAACTGGTGCACCTGTGCGTCAGGTATCAAGAGAGAGAAACGCCGGCACATTACAGCACCTGAAGGACGTGATTTGGTAAGAGATTCAGCTTTGATTTCATATCATTGTGTCTTTTTATTGTGTGTTGCTGTTACTGAGAGGATCCCATCCTCATTTTAAAAGTGTATCTTGTTGTCATAGATGAATCCGTTCCTATTACCTAAGCTTTCATGTGGTTTGTAGAAATAAACAACAATATAGCTTGCCAAATGTGTGGTGTAACTGGCTGTTTGTACAGTGATAAATGACTACATATAAGGTATTAGTTAAGGTACCATGAGCTGTTTATTTTTTAATGTGACTACCTATGGCAACAACATGGCATTTGGGGATTTGAGCAGTGGGAATACTAAGTTCTGCGTCATTAAATTGGGTTAGGGTTTGCTGCTGTAAACCTGTATGAGGTAATGTAGAGGAGACTATCAAAATAACATTAACAACACAAAAGAATATATGCTGACAAAATGTGAAGTTTGGAAAATGCAGAAGAGAAAGCATTCAGAACGTTTTATTAAAAAAAACTAGAAACACTAATGTAAAAATGACTCTGCTAACAACAAACATACATTCACCTAAAATGACTAAGCTATTATCAGGAAAATATTTATATGAATGAAACTTAAAAGTAATCTTTATGCATTATGCTTCCTTTCAGTGTTACATTATTATACATGTATATCATATCACTGTCACTAATGCATACATGTGAATGCAGAATTGAAGTGCTGTAGTTCAATGTGGTGTACATTTGAGCTTCTAGGCGTTTATTAGTTAGTTTAAAACACTTGATCCTCACTTTTTAAAATGATCATGCCGTATACTGCATATAAAATCATTTGTGAAGTAACACAACCATAGATGTTAAATAAATCATGATGTAATGAGTAAAAAGGAGGATAAATACCACTACAATTAATTGAAATAGAAGGATGAAGTAGTATCACATGGAAAAATATATAAAGTATTTAAAAACTGTACTAGTACATCTCTTGAGTAGATTTACTTTTGATTATGTATTGGATTGGAAAAATAAGTGCAAACTGTATCACGTCTTGCATTTTTGTAATCTTAACATCAGCAATAGCAAACTAAAAGTGAGCAAAAGTCTGCAAAGTTAAAACTTTATGATACAAAACAGGTGAAAAAACCCTTTTATTCAATCACAGGTAAATGTATATGATAACCTGCGAATACAAAACATCTGTGATCTATAGTTCATCATGTATTAACTCACACTTTACACATCTATTGGAGGACACTGTAACATAACCTTCATTTTATTTAGTTGAAGTCGATTCAGTCCACTTTAAGTTTTCTACTTCTTCTCCCATAATATAAAAAAGGGGAATGACGTGAGAAGGAGGTGTGTGTGGAGTAACCTTAACAGGCGGTGGTGGTCCATAGGGACTTGGCTTGGTAACTGGAAGGTCACCAGTTCAAGTCCCGGAAAGACCAAGTGCTACCGAGGTGTCCCAGAGCAAGGCACCGTTCCCTACACTGCTCCCCGGGCGCCGTACATAATGGCAGCCCACTGCTCCTAACACTAGGATGGGTCAAATGCAGAGAAACCGTTTCGTTACATAGTACCTGTACTACGTAATGACAATAAATTTAATCTTAATCTTAACCAGCCTTGTTAAACAAATATTTTCAAACCACTTCTGCGAGGGTATAGGTTTGTAAATAGCAAAATTAGTCACAAAGAATCTGGAAAGTGTTTGTATGTCATCTGTCAGATATAATTCCTATACAAATATTTAAACTTAGACTTGATTCTAACAGGATGATGTATGACGCAATATATGGCTCCGAATCAGTGGGTGAAAGTGTTGAGAGGGAACTTATGTAGTGTGTGTGTGTGTGTGTGTGTGTGTGTGTGTGTGTGTGTGTGTGTATTAATGAAAGAAGACTGTGCCCATACAGCCACATTGTGGGAACACACCTCTCATTATGGGACAAAGAGCTGGTCCTCTAAGATTAACCATTAAAGCTGAATTAACTCTATCAATATAAAACCCACACTGCTCAAACGTCGTTTCTTTTCCTAAAATGTGTATATTTATTTATTTTGGGGCGTGGGGAATGAAGAGAAAAAAAGATATGACCATTTTATGAGCATGTGAACACATAAACAGGCCTATGCATAATGCTGAGCTATACTTTGCGGCCACACGCCGTTGCTAAGCAACTCTTATTGTTTAGGTAATTTGATAAGCAGGCAGTCATATCATTAACTATAACTAGCTAGATCTGATAGATTTGGACATAAACGCGAGTGAAGTATAACCGGACGCGAGAAAGAGATCAGAGATCAGATCAGCTGCTGCTGACGGAGAACACGCAACTCTGCATGATCACAGCTCCCCCGCTGTGACGGACCGTTGAGCGGAGCAAAATACACAAGAGTTAGACCTAACACACTTAGCTAGTTTATCTACTCTGGAACTATCTAAACTAGTTATAAATATGTTATAAATATATTCTTTACTTTCGGGTCACGAGACTGACGGGCTGTCAGGAGAGGGAGAGGAAAAGAGAGCACCCCGTTTACTTTTCCCATTTTATTATCCAGAATTACTATAAAACTTTGAATAAAGTAGTTAGTCTGCTATTAGTAGTTTGTTTAAATGCATTAATTATGTTTGTTTTTTCATTAACATAAAATAAATCTCAGGTACCCCCTGCAGTACTCCAACGTACCCCTAGGGGTCCGCGTACCCCTATTTGAGAACCACTGCTAGAGACCATTGATCCCATTTTTATGATACCTATAAGTAAACCCTTTTTTACTCAGAATTAAGGCGTATATGGTGGTGTTTTCTTTATACCATAGCAGCTTTTCTTAAATGTTATAGACGAAAATATATATATTACCTTGCTCTAAATGCACTATAGCATCATGATATTTGTTGTGTATTCAGATTCTTGCCAATGCACAATCCAATCTTAAGTCCTCCTTATTTATTGGGAGCCTTTTAACTTTTTTTAGGGTAATGTTTTTGATTTGACACCCCGCAAAATCAGTAAATGTAATTTCCCGCTGTTGCTCTCATAAATACCCTGTACACTACCGGCCCACAACCAAATAAAAAACTAAAAAAGGTAATAACTAAGTTGGTGCAGATGTTAAACCACAAAGCAAGCCACACATTTCCCGTCAACAAAACAAACAACATAGATCTAGTTGTTTTTTTAAGCATTTTTATATGAAAATGTTACATATTGTACTTTTATTGCAGCTTAAAAATGTTAGAGTTGTGACTGATTTCTTGATTGAGGTCTGGGTAACATAATGTAAATCAATGGAAGTCAATGTAAAATCCTCCAAAGTAAAACGTGTTGTCACTTAACCATTTCAAAAGCTGAACAAATGGAGTAAATTAGCAGCACTATGAAGATGTATTGAATATCAAAATAAACATCTCTAGGCATCATGAATCCTTTGCTTACATTTCACAACAGCGTTCCAATTAGACTTGACTTTTAACGGAGAAAATCCCTTTATTGAGACATATTTTGTAAAAACAGCTCCTTCTGGATGTTTTTACTGTGCATATATGGAGGCTTGAGCGATGAATACTGTACCTATTTTTGTAAAACAGGGTATATTCTTTGTTCACTTCACAGAAGATATTCTTCCCAGGAGGGTCAGGCGATTGTGCTCCTTTGTGTTCATTGTTAGATGTGAATGGTGTATAAGGTTGCATCATTATTTTCTCTGAAGCATCTATTGTTCCCTCACATTTGTCTAGATACGTTAAAGGTCACTTTAAGCCTCTGACTGTTAAATATCTGACGGCCACTCCCTGATTCTGATCTGCCACCAAACACACACCGGCTCAGAGCTTCAAGTGTGTTTGAAACACATACTGTACAGCGATGACAGAGACTGGACAACAATGATCTGACTGAAGTGTGTAAAAACAACAAATGTTTGTGATTTATTAACCTCTGATAACCAGGATTTCAGACATATTTCATGACGTGTTTGTTGTCGTCGTAGAAAGATGATGAATAGTTTTAGATTTCTGGTAAATCTTTGTGTTTACCTTTAAAAGAAAGGAGAAATATTACCTTTTTAATATGGAATTAACATTTGTCATTCATACTTCTGACCCCGTTTAAGGGTTTTACTGTATTTAGGACAAGTGGCTGACATTTTTGTATTCTCTCCCCAGCCATTTCCACCACAAAGCCCTCTCATTCCCATGAGCCTCGTCGCATCATGAGATCACGAAACCTATTTCTACTGGTCTACTTATTTTGGAGCTGCTTTGGTAAGAGCGTATTTATGACTTTTGTGTCTTTTTTCTTGTTCTTATACTTAATATCAACAACAGAGTGAAACCTGAATTTCTCCAAAGGGATTCATTTAAGGATATATGCCTTTTTCTTCGTTTTGTTGTTGTTGTTCTTCTTCCTCTACATCAAAGAACATTTCCGCTCGTAAAAGGACAAAGCTTGTGATATTCTTTATAGAAACCATCATTGAATGGATGCTGTGAATGCTGTCCCAATAAAACTGTGTATTGTAGCTTATTTTGTAACATTATTATCCATTAGAAACTTTTCAGGTAGCCAAACTGTTTTACCTCAACACCAACTGATGATCTAACATATATTGCCCCGCTAGCATTCATATTTTTTAAATATTCCCCAACGCTGTATTAACTGTGTTGTTGAGTAACATTTGCTCAACACTACTTTTTATGAAAATATTATAATGCTTAATCATAATAATTCTTCATCTCCCACATATGGGATCAAATACAGACAATAAACATGCATTGGGATATTTTCAACTGGCAAATTACAGATTTTGGTTTCGATTTCTCAGAAAGAAAGAAAAGCTTCTTTCTCAATTTTAACCATTTTGACAAACCTTTCAAGAGACATTTATTCATACATTTTCAAGAATAAAGAAATATCTCCCCCCAAAACAGCCTCAACTGAACACAATACAATGCAGCGTTCAATGTATCATCCAAGTGACCACTGATATAACTCATATTAATACTTAAAGTATGTTACAAAATGAATGAAGCAGGATTAAAGAACTCTATTAGATTGGAAGCATAAACAATTATATCCTCAAAAAAGGCATTTCCTGAATACTTTTACATTTGTAGTATCGGCTCTAACAATGAACCTTGTCTTCTGCTTACAGCGGCATCAAGTGCACAAAGGTAAGATCTGAAATGTGAAATTAAAATAATAAACATAACAGTGTTTTATCAATCGAGCAGACTTTTGTTTATCATAATTAAACATCTCCACCCTGTTCTAGTTTTAATTAACCATGCAATCGTTTGTCTGTAACCTTTTGCCTTGTTTCCTCACTGGTGGAAATCTACAGAAATGCAACTTGTACAACAAGAGGAACATGTGGTCCGGTGAGTGGAGCTGTTAGACGCTGTGTTTATACATATAATTATACATATTGCTTTGCTTCTGTATCTTCCCTGATTTGATGTACGAATTTTGATTCAAGATCCTTATCAAATCCCTTCCCAGAGCCGCAGGTACAAACGTCATGTTCTGATTTTATCTGTTCTTTGAGAGCTGTTTCTCAGATTGTTTTCTAAGCAACAAATGATAACACACCTTTGAAAAAGTTATAAAGAGGTGTGCAGGGTGTTTCAGTACAGATTCGACATCGACATTTTTCAGTGTCAGCAGCTTCAAGATATGTTATTCAGTCAGTAAGATATTTAATGCTATAATTATTTGTTCTCCCTGGGGCAATACATAAACAAGTCTGTGGTCGAAAGGAACAAAGCCAAAGGTTTTTTTAATTGAGCTATTTGACCAAGTGATGTGATATCAAAACACTTGTATAAACAGGTGGAGAATATCCAGTCAGAGAGGATATTTGGCTCCAGGACTTACTCACTATGACTCAGCAATATATCTACGAAGCTCCAAAATCAACATGCTTTCCCGTTTCACTCTCACAACGAATGATACAAAAAAGCTGACAAAATCACATTCCAACCGGATGAAGGCCTCAGCAAGTAACTAACCTTGATAAAAAACTAGATTTACCTGAAGTTATAGGCGTATGAAATGACACAAAATACCCCTGGGCACAGACTGTAAAGGCCTAATTGCAATACAGACTTTTTTCTATAGTTGTTCTTACTAGAAAACCACAGCTGTAATCAATATCATGGACAATGGCTCAGCTTTTTAAATTCAGGGTTTCCCTTTCCTGTAGTGTGTTATATCGTTTGTTGGGACATGTAAATGGTCTGCAGAGGCTAAAATCCCAAAGGTCTCTCCTATCACATTGTACCTTCAAGGCTTTCAGGTACAATGCGTTGGAGCGCTAGCCAATAGAAGGGGAGTGCTACATAGTGATTGGTCAACCATGCACTTAGACTAGGGCTATTAAAGAATGGGGATTGATGAAAATGATTCAAAGCAAGGGGCCGGGAAAAAGATGGCTTGAAATATGAGCAATCATATTAAGAGCTTCAGATACAGTAAATACTACAACAGCATAGTGGAGTGTATATATTGTGTTTAATTAAATCAAACAACATAGCCCCAAGGCCTTTATAGATCTAAATGGCAAGTTCAGAACTCAGACCTGGACTATGCGGACGACATCAGCCTGCTCTCCGACAGCGTGGAGCAAGCACAGGAACTCCTGAACAGAGTGGAGTCAGAGTGTGCCAAGGTTGGCCTTAGGCTAAACGCCAAGAAAACTGAGGTTATCACCTATAACATCTTACCGGAACATCCACCTCTGACAACAACAGAAGGCACTGTGCTTAAAGAAGTCAAGGACTTCAAGTATCCGGGCTCATGGGTCAACTCAACCGAGCAAGATCTTAAGGTGAGGAAGGCACTTGCATGGAGGGCCCTGAACGGCATGACCTCCATGCAAGTGCCTTCCTCACCTTAAGATCTTGCTCGGTTGAGTTGACCCATGAGCCCGGATACTTGAAGTCCTTGACTTNCGTGTGCCAGGTGTGATCCATGTGGGGGGATGGGCACATAAGAGCGGGACATGTATCAAATTGTTGTGTGTGTGTGTGTGTGTGTGTGTGTGTGTGTGTGTGTGTGTGTGTGTGTGTGTGTGTGTCCGGATGGTTACTAATTCGTTTTCTTTATGGCGCTCATTTTTGTTGACTAAATCATCCAAAATGCAATGGAAGTGGTGATCAGCAATTGTATATGTTCAAATGTCTACTGTGAAGGATATCATAAAGCCTTAATGCAATCGAATGTAAAACTAAAAAGTTATGATTGATGAAAGTAATAAATCGGTCAGATTTGACCCGAAGACAACAGGGGGGTTAAATACACCTTGTCAATGTATATGTGACATGAAATAACAATAAAATATAGTCTTAAAAGTCACATTCCAGGTCAAACATAACAACAACAAATACCCTGTTAACATCTTTCATTTATATTTTAAGAAAATGGATTCAGGACTGGCCAGAGATGTTTCTATCGTAAAGAAGAAGTGGTAAACAAAAAATGTACTTCTTTCCTTTGTTGCCTAGACATTCCTCTCCCAGGAAGCTACTGAGAAATGTAGTTAAACAACTCGTTCAATTGCATACATGTAGCTCACTTCTCCGCAGCACTGCATGAACTAAGGTTTTGTAACAGGAATTCCCACAACCCCAGAGCTGACTGTACTCCTGACGATGTTCCAGATCATTGTTATAAAACCCCTGAAGCGTTGTGTGTCAAACCAATCATGCTGTGTGTGTCAGATGTACCTAAAGTATGTCGCTAAATATGCACTAGGAACGTTTTTGGAAATGTTAGTGCCCTCGGGTATGCATTCAAAATCTATCACAGAAATTGGCAGTCACGCGCTATTAATGGTAGTTTGAGTCATTATTTGAAGTTTCTAAAGAGCACATTTTGTGGTTATTAATGGTGAGGTTAATGATTTCTATTCAGATGTGGATATTTTCATCGTTGTTAGTAGTTTCAAGTATGGTGGTGTATATAATTTCAATTTCGCTGATTATGGGCGATTTCAAAGAAAATGTTGCTCTGAATTTATTCGATTTAATTGTATCATTAATATTAAAGATTCATTGGAGTTGAATGAAGTCCGTCTGTGATTGGGGTCTGTCTGAAACCAGAGCCCAGTCTGCTCTGATTGGTTAGCTGGCCGGCTCTGTTGTGATTGGTCTAAGTCAGGGCTATTCAATTGACGGCCCGCGGGCCAAATCCGGCCACGGGGTGATATTTACTGGCCCTTTGAGTATAATGTAAAAAAGTAATCTAATTTTTTTTTAAGATTTTCTTTAAGATTTTTTTTTTTTTTTAAATTTTGGGCGAGAGTGCCTTTATTCCAGAGAGGGTGTTAAATTGAGAGATAGAAGGGAAGACAATGCCTGAAAACTTTGGCGGGCTCGGGTTTCGAACCCACCTACTAGCTATTGTAGTGACAACTCCTGTCATTTATTGCATCTCTGTGTGAA